AGGTTTGTGAAGGCAGTTCCTTATTGTATTGTTTTCTGTATAGGCTAGGCCTTAATTGGTTCTTATCCTGTAAGCTCTTTATTTTTTTATCTTTGTTTTTTTTATGAGATAGCATAGGGGCCTTCTTATTATTAACTTTTATTATAGGTAATATTTCATCTATATTTTTATTTCCTGTCTATGGTTTTGCATTAAGATACAGTGCAGCCAATACATTACAGGATGCTAGTACTGGGTCAGATAAAAGGTCAATTTTTTTGCTTAGTGTTTTTAATTATTTATTTACTTTACTTTTTTCTTCTTTTGTTACTACTTGGATTCTTTTTACTTTTACATATTTGATTAGTTTTTAAAACTTAACAATGCTTTTTTCTTGCTATGGTCTCTTTGACTTTTTTTTCTATTTATTATTATGTTATATACTTTTTTCTTGAATATGTATTTACTTGTTGCTGTGATAGTTATTTCTTCTATTATATCCCATATATTGTTTATTTTTTTTGCTTTTTTTTCTTTATTTTATTTTTTTTTGTGAATGTCTTTTAACATTTTTTTTCTTTCTAGTTAGTTTTGTAATTTTGTGTATAATTTTCCTAGTCTTCAGAATTTGCTTGGTTATACAAGTATACTGTTCTTGACTGTTTTTTTCTTTTAATCTCTGTCTTGCTTTTTTTTGTTACTATATGCTTAATTTATATCTTTGCTGTTACTATTCTATGATCATTTTCTATAATCTCTCCTACTTCTTCAATTTCTGTTTTTTATAAATCTGAGACTAATTCATTTAAAATTTATATATAATTAATTTTTGTTGCTGCTTCTTTATTTGAACATGTATATTGTTGACTTGTCAAATTCATGTCTCTATATGTGTTTCTAAAGTCTTGATTTTTCATCTAATTGAAGATTGATAGCTTTTTGTAGTTTGTTGTTTATAGATGTTGTCTGTTCAAAATATTGTCTACTATATAATTAAAATTATCTATTAAAATAATTTGTATTTGTTTTTTTTTTATAAGACTATTTCTATAATTTTTGCTAAATGTTTTTCCTTATTATGTATTTTATTATTTGGTAGCATATAGACTACAATTACTACTAACTTCAATTGTTTGAATATAGTGCAATTTCTATTATATATTCACTTATTTTCTTAATAGCACCTATGTGTTTTTCTTATTGTTTATTAATTATAATTCTAATATCTGAATCTTTCTTCTTATCCTTTGCTATATTTGTTCAAAATTTTATTATCTTTTATTTATTGCATATATTAGAAATTTTTTTTTTCTTTCTGTAAGATTTATTTCTATAATTTTTGTTATTGTAATTTCTTCTTTTTTTGTCTAGCCAAGTAGATTTTCTAATTTCCAACCTTTGGTTTTAAGCCTATTAATATTTTAACATATCACCTTCATTTTTTTTTATTTTATTTTATTTTTCTTTTAGTAGTCTTCATTTTGTTTTTATATTTTATATTTTTCTTTTTTTTTATTATACTCTTTATCTTCTTGGCAAGAAGACTTTATTTCTCTTCTTTCTTTAAATAGCTTTCTCTCACTTTGTAAAAAATTTTTTATTTTTTTGTCTATATTTATTAGTTTAATTGTGGCATATTTAGAAGTAGTTGGGCTAGTTTATTCTATTTCTTTTTACTTTCTTCTCTAGTTTTTTCTAATCTTTCTAGTATTAGACCTAGGATATTCTTAACATAGAAATTTTTTTTTTGTAGTTTAGTCTAGGTCACCTTTCACATTTTTATTTTTTTTTTGGTTATGATTTTCAATTGCTAAATTTCTTCTATCTTCCTTATACTTGTTATAATTTTTGTTGACTTTTTTTTTGTTTATTATTTCTGTCATTTTCAGATTCTTCTATATCAGAAATTTTACTGATAGTATTATTTTCAATAAACTTCACATCAATATTTTCTTCTTTGTTTATATATTTATCTTTTTTTTTTTTATGATTTTGCTAAAAGAGTAGATAATTATTAAATTTTATCAGTTTTGTTTGTTGCTTTTATTTTTTCTATTAATGCAAAAATAATTGTTATTGATCTTCTTTAATTTTTATTTCTGTTAGGTGGTATATATATTGATCATGCTCCTTTTTTTCTTAAACATCCTAATAATAGTACTTCTAATGCATTATCTAAGAGCTCTATTAATCTTATTGTAAATTAATTTTATATATTATATCGATTATAATTTTTTTTGCCTAATGTTATTCTTGCTAGTCTGTATACTCTTATTGATAATGATCATGAAATATTTTCTCTAATTTTTTTGTTTTAATTACTACTAGTACTTTGTATTTAGATCTTTTAATATATTTTATATAGGCTTTATTGATATTTCTGTACATGTAGTTTACTTCTTCTATATTAATATTAATTAGTAAATCTCATATCTTTAGATATAATTTTGATTCAAAATTTTCTTTTGTTACATAATCTACTTTCTTATAGTTCTCTTCTTTTTGTCTAGTAAGGTTTTCAGATTTTTTTTTTTCTCTTTCTTTGTTTTTATATACTTGCTAATTCTGTTTTCTTTTTTGTCTTTTTAAATTTTCTAAAATTATTTTGAGCTATTTATCTTTTTTTTCTTTAATTTTTTTTATTGCTGCAATTCTACTAAACTTATAATCAAAGTTTACTTCTATTTAACTATTTTTATTTTTAAAAACTTTTTAAATTAACTTAATATGATAATTTTTTCAAAAAATCTATTAAGCATATTTTAGTCTTTCTTCTTTGTTTTTTCTAATATTATATATGTTGATATGTTTGTTTTAAAAAATTTATTTTTATTACATATGTGATTTTTTAATAACTATTAACTATGTTCAATTGTATTTATAAGTATTGATATTTCTTAATTTTTTTCTTTTACTTTTAGGTTTATAATTTTTTTATCTATATTTTTAATATTTTTTTTCAGATTATATATTCTATTATTTATTAATATCTTTTGATCTTTTTTAATTTGTTTTCTTTCAATATTAACTCTTTCTTTTGTTGTATTTATTGATAACTTTTCTGAAACTATATTTTGAAAATTACTAAAGTTTAGTTGTTATGTAATTAAAATACTCAGTTTTTCTATTTGTTCTATAATTTTCTTTAGATCTTGTTTATTTCTTTTTTTTTATTTATTTGTTTTTGATTTTTTTTTTCTTTTACTGATAAAATTATTTTTTTTTTTACTTTTTTTAACCTTTTTAGTTTTCCTATTTTTAGTTCTTCTTTAGATATTTCTTCTTTGTTAAAATTTATTTAAAGATTAAGAAAATTTAAATTTATATTTATTACTAATAGTTTCATTACTTCTTTTTTAATGATATTATATAATACTATACAAATTTCAGCTATTTTAAGCATTTCATAAATTTAATCATAAAGAAGTAAATTCTTTGTTGTAATATTTTTCAAATTATAAATTACTAAATCATTTGCTATATATTTTAAATTATTTAAATTTCTAATGAATTTTGATAGAATCTTATCTAGTATTTTGTTATTTGTATATTTACAATTTCTATTTTCAAACTCTTTGATATATTAAATCAAATTTATATTTAATGACAATTCTATTCTTATTTGTACTTCTATTTTTAAATTTTTTGTTATTTATCTATCTACTTATTACCTATGCTTATACTTATTTATATTTTCTAATAAGATTATTTATTATTAAAAGTAATATAATATATTGTTGTTTGTTGTTGTTTATATTGATAACTGATCATATGTTTAGATATTGTTTTCCAAGTCTAGTATATTTTTCCAATTTTTTCAAAAAATTAGATCAAAAAATTTTAAAACTAACAAAAATTTGTTTTTGAAGACTTAACTTATATTGTTGTTAAGACAAAATATTTGTATTTTGTATACTAAATCTTTTTTTTAAGAATCTAAATAATGTTTGTTAAATTGATTTTGTTTTTTTTTTAGTATATTCACTTTAACCTTATTTTGAAAAAAAAATTAGTAGAGCAAGTTGTTTATTCATAAAAAGATTTAATTAATATCTATTTTGGTTTTTAATTTATAAACTTTTAAATATTATGTATTTTATATGTTAATTTAAAGATTCTTGCCTGTAACAAATATATAATAAAAATATTTACTTCTAAGTGAAGTTCTTAAAAATGTGAATTATTTTGAATTAATTTTTTTTTAACAATGAATAATAACGTTCATTAAGAACTAAAATTTGCTTTTACGAAGGTTTTTTTGTTAGTGAAACGATACGTTCTCAAAAAGTACTTTAAAGTGTATAAATAAGTTACCCGAGCAATTGATTTACATTAGCCAATCAGAAGAATGTCCTATGACTCTGGTCTTATACCGGTTTTTGCGGATCATTCCTAATTTTATGTATCGGTAATATTTGCTGATCTTATGATGTCAATAACCTCATAATTAAGTCATAAATCGTTTTAATTAAATTTGAATTGTCGTGTATGATTGGTTCACTTCAGCATAAGCTATTACAGGACGTCTTTATTATAAGTTTTGCACGTTTAATATTAAATTCTGAAATTTATATTAGAAATTCACCAAGAATCGGTTCAAATTTTCTTTTTTTTGTTTCTGGCACGAGATTCTCCACAGAATATAATTTTCTAATACTAGTTCACGATCATGATGATTACCTAAATTGTATATTAAAAAACATTTTTGAAATAACTTCTACCTGTGAGTACTACCGCAAATTATTTCGAATTTGTATCAGAAGTTTTATAAATACATGCAATACTTTTAAAATATTTACAAAAGATTAAGTTTCTAATATCGATATTGATGTTCAAATTAGAGCTCAAATCCGGTTTTTTTTTTTCATATATTAAAACCGGCTTGGCTCGGTTTTAACGTATGAAAATAAAATCGGTTCAAAAGCCCTATTTAAATTTATATATATAGATTAAGCTTTTCTATTAAATTTTTATCAATCAACTCTTGGAACATGCTATGTAATACCCAAATAATCATTGAATTATTTTGTTTTACGCCGCTTAGCTTTCGGTACATCTTCCGTTATGTCGGAATGTTTACGTTTCTTATGACACGCCATACCCCTCAAATGAGTAAATCTCATCTTGCAATTAGCATAATCACATTTGAATGGTTTTTCTCCACGATGCACGCGTGTATGACTCTTCAAACTGTTCGAGGTATTGAAACCTCTTCCACATCCAGGTTCGTCACACACATATGGTTTCTTTCCGTTATGTGCTTGTTGGTGAATCACGAAACTTTTCAAATATGTATAACTTTTATTACATCCAGGATAAGCGCAAACAAAAATTTTCTTATCCGTATGAACTTCATTGTCATCTTCACGACCTTTTTTTACCGGTACGATGTGATTTTCATCAATAACATCAATAGCATCAATTGCATGACTTTCGGTGTCAGACTCAGATTGATCATGATAAAGCACATCCACAAATGATTGAGTAACGTGCTTGCAATCACCTACGTAAAACACGCGATAATTAATATAGAGAAGTAGTTATCATTCACATTATATATACGTAGAAATTGATTACAAACTTACTTGTATGGCATGTATAATTAACACTTGTATTACTTTGAGTTTCAAGTTTTCCTAATATATCATCATCCTCGAATTCGTCGGAATCTCCACATATAGTTGAATCATCACTATCTTCATATAACGTAGTGCTCGTTTCACTAACGTCATTCGTTGATTTTTTCGAGTTAATATCTCTTAAAATACAACTTTCATTTGTTTCCTTAACTCCTCTTAAGCATGTTCTCTCCTCACTGATATCGTTATTGCTACTTGTTAAAATACTTTGTTCTACACTATGATCATGATCATTTGCCGTCACTCTTGAAATCTTATTATGTTCATCTTCACGCGTAATCTCACTTTCGTTGCTTCTCTTAGAAGATTCTCCCACTCTCCCCATTTGTTTACTACTATTATCTTGTGCGCCAATCAATGAAATACGTTCAGCGACGCCATTTTTTGAATTTTTTCCATTAACAAAAACCAAGTCGATCATATTATCCTCATGGCATGATAGTTCTGATTTCATTCTAACTTTTTTAGTCTTGCCACAAATTGTAAGTACTGTGTTTCCAGTTACCTCTAAAAAATTTAACGTAAAATAAAATGAATGTAACAATTAAATATATTTGTATAAACAGTTGGGAACACTTAAGGCTTTTAACTCTTTTAATTATTACTATACACTAAAAACCTAATTACACGAAAACAAGTGTTGAATCCTCTGTTTACATGAAAAGAAAGAATTGTATACAAAACCTGGTAACCGAATTTTAAGATGATCTGCGTTTACAACAAGCTTCTTCATTTTTATGAAAAGGTATAAGGTTGAATCTAAAAGGTTTTTTTACAACATTAGAACAAGCTAATTAAAGAACGAATATGATTGTGAAAATATACTGACAAAAATACAAAATTATTATATAGTAAAAAAAAAACGTGTCTTGAACGTTCTTTTCAACTATTAAAAGGATGTAATTAAATTGAAATATGCATAAAAATAATATTTCTTCGTTTCCGCTAAGGTTCTATCAAAGTTTATGAGAATTAACTTTTTTATTATTAAAGTCGGAACTTGATTGTACGTACGTATGTACAAAAACAATTCATTTATCGTTAAATATGTTATGCAAATGTTTTGTGTAACAAAACACGGGCAGGGTATTTCGAATTTGACGATCACATGAAATTAAATAATTGGTTATCTTCTTACACATGATAACTGGCCAATCATATTTATTATAATCGATAATGATTTTTAAAAATTTTTATTTTATTCAATCGAAGATATTTCGTAATCAGTGACTAGAATTTAATAATTTTTATATGGTTCGATTCGTCACGTCAAGGCGAATCCAATGTTATAAAATATTGTTTGAGCAAATGCTAGTCTAACTTATTGGTTTTGTAACTTGCTTATTAACAATTATTTATTTAACAATTACATCTTTGCATCATCAACAATCGCCTTTTTTCCTTTTCCAACATTTTTTCAGCAACATTTTTCTACCAATTTTTTACAGTTATTCTTATCACAATAATTTTATTATTAAAAAAAAATTATCAATTATAATAAATTATTTAAATTAAAGGATGGTGATTCTAGTGTAATAGTTGGATTGTTATCCTTTAAGTGGCAGGTCTAAGGTCAAATCCCATCTATGATGAAATTTGGAAATTATATCTGCATTACAGTAACTGTCTTTTGTTGATTGGTTGGCCTCATATAGCTGTTATCTAGGTACACCAAGTCAGGTCTTTTTGACATTAGGAGCTCAGGCATTTATGTAAAATATAATATTACATGTATATAGAGGAATGTTTATCAATGTTGTATAAGATTTCAGTGCAAATCCATAATAAGACCATTGGGTATAGAAGACTAAGGAACTGAGATAACAGAAACCTACTTGGAAATTTCTAAGTAAAAAGATAACATGAACTTTTAATAATATCATTAGATCAGTTAAAGCTCATGAAACATTTTTATAGAAGTTAAAAATTAAAACCAGATATCAAATATATGTAGAAGAAAACATAATCAACTAGGCTGTCAGATTTGTTAGAGGAAAAAAATATATAAGTATACCATATTAGACTATTTGGATTGGTAGTCTGAAATGAGACCAACAATTCTAAGTTACAGTTAGTAGAGAATGATGATGAAGATATTAGGAAGATAGGTACTAGGGTTCTAGTAAACTTTACAAGAGTAGAAATAGTATAATGTAGTAGTTAAACAGGTAATTTCTATAACTGCAAGTGTTAGGTAACTATAGCATATTGCATAAAACTAGATCTATATGTATGGAACATAAAGGCTCTAGTAAGTTTTTTATTGAGAATAAAGTAATTCTAAGGGTAACGATAAGCATCAGGAACTTAGATGGGTGTAGACTTGAGATGTTTTCATGATACAAGAAGAATTGCATATGCAAAGAGTTTAAATAGTCAAGATTTCTAGTTGGCTTGCAGGTATGATAACTAGTATAGAACTTATATAGCAATGTGTAAGCAGATTATTTAAATTAAACACCAAAAGTGCACATGTGACTAGTTGTAATCTCCAATGTAAAGGAGTCCTTAAAGGCACCTGTTTCCTAACAAAACTTGAATAAAATATTGCATCCCCAAGATAAGGACTTTAACTATAAAAAAAAAAAAAAAATTATTTAAATTAAAATTATAAAACTAAAAATTAAAAAATTTTACTGCAAATCAAATTTTAAGTATAAAATTTGTAACTCAAAATTTTGAGTTACAAACCTTATATAATATGAGCTAGGTGCTGCAAAAAGGAACAAAATTGACAAAAAAAAAGATCTTTGGAAAATTAATTTTTATGTTATAAATCTTATAATAAATAATAAGAAAATGCAAACTTTAAAGAGTTATATAGCAAAATCTTATTAAGATAACAGTATTTGTTTTTTAACTAAAAAATATTTTTGATCTAATTTTGGATTAGTTAGATTTAAAAAAAAGGTTTGAAAAAATTGTCAATTTGGTTCCTTTTTGCAGCACTTAGCCCATATAATCTTAAAAATTGTTTGACTGATAAAATTTTTTTATTTGTTTTAACTTACATGATTTTTTATTTAATTAATTTAAATTTTTATTTTTCTTAAATTTTTTTTCTTTTAATTATTTTTTTTTTTGCTAACTAGTATGTGACCTGTTACTTTTTTTTTTTTTTAAATATTAAGGTGAGTACTTGTGACCTAGGATT